GTGTATGTGTGTTTGTATGTACGTGTATGCGTGCCTATAGAAATGTTACAATTTAAAATTACTTACTGTATATAAGAAAAATGGCGCGAAAGTTTTAAAATTTTTGGCGGGGGTTAAGATAGGCGCCAAAATAGCATACCGGATAATTTTCCCATTCCTGGTCGATGTCTTTGCTCGTTACGTCTGATTCGTCGTCCTGGATTGTGCTAGTACTTTGCGTGTTGTTGGATGGTTGGTTGGATGGTTGGTGGGTGGGTTTGTTGGTTGGATGGTTGGTTTGTTGGTTGGATGGTTGGTTTGTTGGTTGGTTGGTGGGTTGGTTGGTTGGTTGGTTGATTAGTTGGTTTGTTGGTTGACTGTTTGGTTGGTTACATGATTGGTTGATTGATTGATTGTTGGTTGGCTGGTTGATGGATTGATTGTTGGCTGGCTGGTTGATTGATTTAATGTTTTATTGATTGATTAGTTAAATTATTATCCAAAACTTGATCAAGATTTTAAAAATCAAATCCATAGAAATAAATCAAAAAAGCAGATGGTGGGTGGTGAATATGTTTAAAATTTTATCACAAATTATTAATAATTATAATAATAACGAAATAATAATAATAAATAATAAAATAAATACTAATAATAATAAATAATAATAACCTGCTTCTTCTTTGGATGTTGCCGTTACAACCGAACATTGGGTTGCCAGTTATAATATTTTTATTGCTATTATTAATTCCGTTATTATTATTATTATTATTATTATTATTATTATTATTATTATTATTATTATTATTTTTCGATTTCGCGGCAGATGTTTTGGGATGAGATTTCAATGAGACCGACGATGATGATGATGATGGCGATGATGGTAATGATGACCACGGTGATGATGATGATGATGGTGGCATGTTATTATTGTTGTTATTATTGCTTGAATATTCACTTTTATTATTATTATTATTAATATTTTTGTTATTATTATTATTTTTGTTGTTATTATTATTATTGTTATTACAAATGTTGTTGTTTGTGTTGTTTTTATTGGTGATGCTATCATTCGTTATTGTCCTGTTGATGTCATCATTATCATCATCATCGTGATCATCATCATCATCGTCATCATTACCATCGTCATCATAATCGTAACCAAGGATTTTGTTGTTGTTCTTGTTCGAATAAACAGTTTTGTTGATGTGACTGTTGATGCTGTTGTTGTTGTCATTATTGTTAAAGATGATGTAATTGTTGTTGTTTTTATTGTTTATGACATCGTTGT